ATTGCTGAATTCCTTCTTAATATTCCTTAATCGTCAGACCCAAATCTCTAATAACTCTGTAATAAACAACCCAATGGAAATTGCTACATTAGAAATTTTATATTTTGCTTGATGCAATTTAATAAGACAGTAATATCTAGAATGTTATTGCTTTAGCTTCGCAATAATTTCCTAAACAACAGTAAAAAAGATAATGAAAATGTTAGAAATAATGGCAATAAGTATGATCGAAACTGGTTAAATAATACTAACACGTAATATGCTAATTACTATCGTTACACTATTTTATAGCCTTTAAAAAGAAAATAAGCTTTCATTCGATATTAATATTTAAATTTTATCGAAAAATGTGTTTGTTTGCCGATGAAATTGACGATGAAATAATCAAAGTTAACAACAATTAAGCGGAAACATTAGTGGCCTAAACAGCTCCCCAATTATTGCTATCAGAAAATGTCAACTTTATTGCATTATTTTGCAAAAATAAGAAATATTAAGAAATGTATTCCTTTCAATTTAGTACTTTAGAAACATAAAGATAAAAATATTATTAAATCGCCATTGTAAATATAAATATTTATAAAACCTAGTACAACACCATTGACTTGTATCCCATTTCCCTACCTAAGTACGTAAATGTAAAATGCCACTTGCTCAGTGGTCGGTCACTGTGTCTTTGCAAATCCGTGATCTAAGTAGCGGAAAAGTTATTCTAATATTCTAGATGCTTGCTAAGAAAGCTTATCAAAAATTCTTTATAAAACTGCAAGCTATTTGTTTCCATCAAGTTAATTGAACTTAATTAATCTGAACACTGATATGTTGCACGCACATGTGACACATAGCATATTGATATTGATCACGCCGTATCTAATTTTAATTCTCGTTCATATCAGAGGAAAGCTTATTCCAGGTAAAATGAATTTTAAAGTGATCCAAGACCGTAACGATGCGTACGTATCAAGATAAGTAACCTATAAAGATGTTCACGCAAAGTTAAATTACGGTAAAGATAAATCCTTAATCTACTGACACTGTTAAAAGCGGAAGCATAGATCCATTCGAAATGTAGCCAGAAAAAAGTCGATATTTAC